CGTGATTGTGTTGTAAATCGATTGACATAAGCTTATTTGTGTTGATTGCGTGAGACTGGAACGAATAATGGGTGAGTGCCTAATTGAGTGGTTAAGTGATTGGTAATAAGTATGGAAGGTGATAATTTCGGGTGGATATTGATGGTGGTTCTGGTTGTATCCATTTGAAAGTTACTGTCGGAAGGTATTTCAGATAATGAAAAACAGATGAATTCAAATGAATGTGCTGATCATAAGGATAAGCAAGAAGAAAAGAATGAAGGGCAGGTGAGTTATCATCGAACGAGTGTGAACAAAGGAAGAAGTGCAAACGATGTACGAACGTCCACGACACGGCTCTCACGACCAGTACAAAGCATGACGTCAAAAACCGGATCTGAATCGGATTTTGACAGCGATGTGAATGCTTGATTTGGTTATAACATTTCAAAACTGACCGCTTATTTAGTATAAATAATGAGCGTTTGGTTGGGTGAACAATAATTAATTTTTTCATGTTGGCAGAAGTTGATAACCGAAACGATAACCAACCACATCGAAGTTGCATGGTCTCAGTGAGAAAGTATCGCAATCTTATCAGATTGATGATTATAATTGCATTATAGCAATCCAAGTCTTGGTCAGTATCACTGCCGTCAACATCGTTGAAATACGATCCAGCATGGACGAAACGGATTGGAGAGTATGCGGCATTGGAAGACATGAAAACGTCGAAAGCTGAGGACATGGATTTCAATGACAACTTACGTCGATGTTGTGAAGCGATGCAAGCAGGCGTCCACCCGTTGCGCATCCAGTCCGGTAGTTCGGGTACGTGCAATCAATTGATCGCGCATATTATCTCTACTCAACGCATCAGTTTTCTCCACATTCATCAGCTCACTCGTCAAGAGTTGTTCCGACACGGTACCGAATGCAAATGCACTTATCCTGTGCATCGTATCTCAGTCCGACGCTCAGACTAAGATTAGTCAAATGTATGGAAAATGTTACGCAATCTATTTTCAACGCAATAAGCAAAGACCCAGCTAACGATGTCCCGCCATTAAAAAAGAAAGATTTCACTGAAAGCTGGATGAAATCAAGATGAAAAGCAACTGTGACTCTAAGAATGGTGAAATTAAAGGTTCATATTTCATTCGTGACAAGAATGGAGAAATAATTGCTGTGTTCAAGCCAAAGAGCGAAGAGCCGTTCGCGCCACTCAATCCCAAATGGCCCAAATTTTTTCAACGAATTCTTTGTTTTTGTTGTTTTGGTCGAGCGTGTTTAATACCCAATAACGGATATTTATCCGAAACTGGTGCTTCACTTGTCGACGAAAAACTTGAGGTGTGTGCAACTGTCATTTAGATCGCTCATATTAGAGCATTTCGTATATAANGAGTGCATCAACCTAGTAACCAGCGTGCGATTATTTTCCAGTGAATATTGCTCTTCTCTTGTCTCCTCAGAGTGACTCATATGAAAGTTTCCTCACTCATTTCGATCGATGTATTTAATTACAGTTACATATTGTACCGAAAACACGCATCGTGAAGCTTGCATCTCCAGCGTTCTTCTACTCACGATCATGCTTCAAGACGAATTCACCAAAACCAAAAGACGGCAGTTACCAGGTGCATTATTTTACTGTTGGTAAATACCTAACATGTTTTCAAATCCATAAAATCACTTTGAAAGCATATCAGTACGCTCACTGAACTGATAATCTCGAAACAAGTTCAGTTAGCTCATAACATCTTCAAGTTTTCAAGGAAATATTGTTTCCCTGCTCCGTTCTAAACTGAAATGAATCATTTGATCGTTTCAATCAGATACAGAATAGTGCGAATTTCGTTCAGTCGATAGAGACAAATTCGATGCAAGTTTACAACTTCAAAAAAATGTAAAATAAGTATGAAAAATAAACTTTTGTCATGAACATGCGTACGTTCTGATTTTGAATGTCGAGGATATTGAATATGCTACTCACATAATTGATTTTCTTTTAACAAAACTCAGTAGCGTCTTATTGCATAGCAGGTATTCGTGAACGGTTATGTGAGCGCGAGTGATATTATACCGGAGTGGTCAAAGGATGCTCAGTCGTGTCCACTATCAGCACAAGAAGCGAATCGATTCAAGATTTTGTTTCAGAAGATGTGCATTCTTGATTATATCATTAGAAATACAGATCGACATATGGATAATTGGCTAATCAAGTCAGTTATTATCCCAAATATCCGTTCGTTCCACTGATATCATTCATTTTAAAAACTTGATAAAATGAGTATGATGAGTACGACTGACGACAGTGCTCCAATTAGAAACTGTTTACTGAAATGTTATCACATAGAAATTGAGGTTGACTGATATCTCGTGCGTGCTTTATTGGGGACACAGGGACGTTTTCCCCCTTCCTGCATGGTTCCATGTCAGTCTTGCTTTGAAGTATGATGATTGCAGCCATGTCAATGTTTAGTTTGGAATAAGTATCAGAGGAAAATGCGAACAATATGGAGGGGTTTCTGATAGTTCGAATTTTCTTCAGATATCGAAAAGGTCAAGTTCTCGAAATAGCAGCAATAGACAACGGACTCGCATTCCCGGTGAAACATCCTGAAACAGCCAGTCGCTTAAGAACATTCCCGTTTGGATGGGCGCACCTTAGCTGGGCAAAATTGGTCGGTCATTCATCAGTTCTAGATCTTTCGCTGAAACACTCATAAGCATGTTTCAAAAGATGGTTGAAAACGTTCAGCGGATGTATTCTGCGCATAAAAGGGCGTTGTTAAATCAGTAATTCAGATGAAGGCTGATCAAAAGTGCCACTGGCAAATCATTCAGAATCATTGAAGTATTCCTCTCAGGATTGATGTAATTGACGATGTCTAGCGAATCACACGAAGCATCTGTAAAAATATCGTTATCAACATTTGTGTACATTTAGTCGAGACTTTTTAGCCATGGGATGAGGACTTACGATCAAACCTTTTGGCTTTGTTGACACCTGAATTTGTACAAACATTATCGGATGATATAAAGATGTTATTCAAATACGACAAAGAAGTGAATCGTTTTCTCAAATACAATCAATTAAGGGTAATGCGAGGCCAGGTAAGTGCCTGCCAAATAATCACTTCTATTCATTTCACTTTCACTGTTCACTAAGTTCTCTTGAAGCAGTTCTCATATCAGTCATATCGTTTTTCGACATATCACCATCTCAAGAATCATCAATTTTCTTATACTTTAAAGATGTTTTTTTTTT